GGGGGGGTTGATGTCTATTTTCCATGCAGATGGCAGAAGATACTTAAGGAAGTAGTCTTTAAATTTAAATAGCATCAGCAGTACCAAACTCAAGATCCTCCATTATGTTATCATATTACGCACCCAATAAATCAAGCCACCCAGACTTCACCAGCACACAACCCACGCTTGCACCTGAGGCAGAGAACCAGAAACCATTGCTCCCAGACAGAGGGATCCCATCCGCTGCCCGCAGACAGAGTACCAAGTCCGTTACTCAGACAATCTTGACACAATAGCTCCCCAAACATTTCAACTGTCCATTTAAAATAGAACAGAGATAGCATTAATAATATTTCATATTACTGTGGCTAACAGCAATCAAACAGAATCACATTCTGAAGCCACTTTTTCTAGAGGAGGAGGCACATAAATAGCTGTGCACTAACTGAAGGCAGCACTTTTGCTATGTCCTGGGGGCTACACCAGGAAGTCACCAATGCCATCGTAAATGTACTCACCTAGATTAGCGGTTTAAGGCAGAGCTGCACTAACTAAACCAGCTCCAAAATGACTGGAAATCCCCAGTGAAGAAGGCAAAGCAAGCTCCGAGAAAGAGGCCAGTGCTGATCACCGCACAGCGCTCCCGGGGCCTCAGAGCATGATTACTTGTGTCACTCCTATCTACTCTCACACTCCAGTGCGCTCAGAGACTTATTCCCAGGGAAAGGGGACTTGCAGGAGAGCTGACAATTGGAAGTCCAGTCAGATCTAGCAAGCAGGTCCCCCCTCTACCTTTTTATAAAAATTAATTTCATTTTACTAAACTTGGGAATTTTAAAGCAATTCCTCCAAGCAATAAGAAGAGAGACAAAACCTCTGGAAAAATGCAAAAGGAAAATCTATTTAATATATAGCTTCAGGTTTGTTTTGTTTTAAATTCTGCTTTTTTGAAGTCTAGCCTCCCCTGGACATCATTTGGGGCTTATGTTGCAAAAATAAAGAACCCAACTACCTCATTTTTAGGCACCCAAGAGATAAATAGGTGAAATGCTATACATAGCTCAGAAGCACGCTATTTTTTTCCAGCCTTCATTCAGCATCTTCTTCTGCTCCAATTCAACATTTTACCCAGCATTCCTTCAGTGGAAATATCCAAGCTTTACCACATTAGCTTAACCTGTATATAATGTAAAAATATGAATCAACAGCACTCTAACCACATCCTACCACAAGATCTAGCTTTACCACCATCACTGCTTCCTATTGAAACATCTATTTGTGGCACTGCTGCTGGTCGTACGTTCTTGACTAAATGCATGTGTGCAGGTTGCACAGACAACATGCAGTGTATGTGTGTCACATGCATTTACACCAGTAAATATTCATGATGGATCGTCATTTCCTCTACTTGCACATATCCTGATATCACAAGCTGTGGGACAGTAAAAATATCTTCAGGAGGCTTTAAATTACAGCATAAAAGGCACGCAGCAGGCATGAAACTTCTGCAGGAAAATTAAACATAAAACCCCACATTAAAGAAGCCAAGCAACTGAGTGGTATCTGCTTCTTTCAACAGATATTACTTAGCTACGAAATGAGCCCTGACTAGTGAGCTACCACCCTAAACAGAAATCGCAGCAAGGGTTATCAGAACAAACATTCCTATAGGAGCAACACACGCCGATACTGAATAGCAACGAGAACTGCTGAGCCAAAGTATATACACAGCACAAGCACCTTTGCTCCGATGGGTTGATTCTGCGCGCTTGCCTCTCCAACTCTGCGTGACTGTAGTAAACACCCTTCACAACTAAGAAAACAGGAAGATTCTCTGTCATTCTGCAGAGAAAGGGTTTGGCATGCCAGGTTTCTCTCCTTAAAGAATTTGTCCAATGTGAGAAGAGGAGATCGAGAAAGTCCCAGAGCTTTAAGAATCCCAGCTGCACTGAAGAGAGGAAGTTTTTTTTCTTTTCTCCAAATAATAATAAAAAAACCCAAACAAACCAGGAACTCAATGTTTCTCCAGTGAAACTCACCCTACAGACAGGAAGTCCCTGAAGATGAGTTTTAAGTCTGCAACAAAAAGTCATCCCATGCAAAGCAATGCATACGGGAAAAAACAACCCTAATTATACACGCAACATGACAGGATTTAGTTCAGTTCTTATCAAACAAGAAACCCTGAGGCTTAGTGTGAGCCAATACCTTCAGAGCAGTATCCAATGCTCTGCAGCAGTCAAAAAGGCAAGAACAACATTTTTAAGAGCAAAACAAGTTACTGTTACAGCACTACAAAAATTTATTATGTGATTCTGTCTAAAAAGGGATAGTAAACACAGGAAAGGCAAATAGAAAGGGGACAAAGATAACAAGAATGGAACAGTAGCCGCTCAGAAAATATCAAATAACTCGGATTTTCAGCTGAAAAAGGAAAACAGAGGATACAACAGTTCTATAAAGTCATGAATGATATGGAGAAATGAACAGCAAACATTTGTTACCTCTCACTGCACGTGAGAGAGAGAGTGATGAAACTGCTGAGCAGTGGACTTAAAAGCAGAAAAGAAACAATCACAGTAAGTTACAAAGCTCAGTGCCAAAGATACTGTGAGATCCAAAGCGGAAATGGATTCAAAGAGCAATGAGACATATTCAGAGTATAGCTTTTATATATCCATCAAAGGACTTAACAATCCTGATGCAATCACCAGCTGATTACTGGAAAGACATACAGAAGGATTATTCCTGCCTACCTGCCAGCAACCCAACACTGTGCCAGATCATTCCTTAGTCTCACCAAAGTACAGTTGCTGATAAGAAAAGCTCCAGGACCAAACATTTCTGAAAGCCATATCAGGATAATATTTTTAAAGACTGTCCTCTTCAGCAGCATGCTTTAACATGCTGTCAGGTAACACTGCCATTGTTGGTTTCTTCTCCCTGTGTTTGATCT